TGTGGTTTGGCTTTGATATTCGTTCCTGATAAGAACACACATAAAAAAAGATCTAGTAGCCAGCTTGAGGAGGGTACCCATAGTTTGCCGGATATCCACCCTGAGGAACATAGCCATCAGGAGGATATCCACCTTGGTAATTGTTGTTGTATTGATAATCTTCGGCAGGGTACTGACCCTCAAGGGGATTCCCACCGTCAATAGCATCATTCTCAACATAATTGCTGTTATTGTAAACACTGCCATTCCGCCCAACACCAGTAGGCCCACTGCCCTGAAAGTCACCACCGTCATCTCCACGGTACACGATACTACGAGAGCGACCCATGCCCAGCTGTGATTGTGAGGGAAGCCGACTGATATTTTCTTCCTTTCTCGCTTCCGCCGCAATCTCTTCCTCTTGCAACTTTTCTTTGTGTTTCTTGCAACAGCAGCAGCATATAATAACAATGACAACCACAATAACAACGACACCAATAGCAATGATAAGTCCAGCCCACCACCGAAACTTGCTGGATTCTTCTTTAACAACAAAGCCATTCTCATCCGTTACAGGTGCCGTTTCCTGTTCAGAAGCAGTAAACTCATAGTACTCACATATCCACGTTGTGTATAGGTGGTCTCGCAACTCATTCATCCAAAATCCATTTGGCATCATTTTCGGGATAACATTGTCTTGGCGTCGAAAAAAGGCAACAGGTTGAACCCCCTTTTGGAAGTTATGATACATGCCAGGAACGGCTTCGGTGTAGTCCACCCCTTTATAGACCGCACCGTACAAAAATGTGGATTTCTCAATTGGGGTTCCGTTCATAAGGCCGGCGGTGTAGATCCACGGACACCTCTGAGACGAGCATGAAGCGGCGGGATTCCACCCGCCAATGGGAGCCTCTGTGTAAGCAGCCCCAACAAACTTACTGTACGCATCTGTTTGGAAGCTCTCCTTCATGGGCATCATGGTGTGGCCTCCGCTTTGCCATGGACAGGGGCCGGCAAACCGGGCGTCTACTGGTGTAGGGGAAGTAACATAAGTGTAGCGTACACTATACGCCTGGGCGACCAATGATGTGCACAGCACTGCAGCAAGCACACTACAGCGAAACACGATGGAAACCACTGATGTGGAAGTTACTTGTGTCCTCATAGCTTTCAACCAATAGTTGGTATCCTAAATTTAAAAAAACACACATAATAACAAAATACAGAAAAAGAAAAATAAAAAATGATTTCGCAATACAGAATTCAGTAGATGCAGGCAATGTCGAAGAGACAAATACAGAAAACAAATACAGCCCTAGAATGATCATACACACACACAAACAGAGGGAGACAGCTTCACAACAGCATACACAGACACACACGGTGGCCAAGATGGCGTGTGTAGGCTGCCGTTGGGTGGGGTCTACAGCCGCACCTGGTGCCCATCACGGGCAGCACCGTCACCCTCACGCACACCGCAGTCCAGCGAGGTGTGAGAACTATTGGCCGCGCCGCCCTCCCCACGCAATGAATGGCCACATGTGTGGTCCTCACACCGCAGACCCGACGGCACACCACCAACGCAGTTCCCAGCAACCGTAGCACTACCAGCACCACCAGCACTACTGCCCTCACGATCCTGTAACTCCTGCCGCTGCGCGTCCAATTCAGCCTCGTAGCGGCGCAGTTTTTCAACTGGTACCAATGCAAGGATCCCACCAATCATAGGCACGACACTAACGACAATCATCACATTCACTTTATTCTTTTTCCTCACTTGGTTCGTAGCTCAATGTATACTAGAAGTGATTTTTCTCTGTTATGTGTTCTTTAACCATTGAAAGAAACGTTGTTTTAAAGCGGATGGGGTTTGTTCCGTTTCTTGAGTCTCATTTTCTACTGCCAATTCTACGAATTGTTCAAGTGCATTTCGTTGCATACCTGTTAATTCGTCTTTTTGGGGTATTACAACCAAGAGATGAACGTAAAGATGTCCACATAAGGGTGAATTTTTTTGATTTTTCTGTAGGTTATGGAGTGAACTTGCATCACCTTTTCCTTGTTCATGGCTTTCTATATTTGCATAACTATTGTCCAGCTCAACACCATATCCATTCATAGCGATTTTCTGCCCGTTTCGTACGCATGGGGGAACTCGCAAGGGCTGTAAACCACGTAACGTTGGCACTGAAACCACTCCACCGAGTAGAGCTGTAGAGAGTGGAATAGGTAGTACCATATGAAGATCAAGTCCATCACGGTGAAAGAGACGATGCTCCTGTACCAAAAGTGTTACGATTAAATCTCCAGCTGTACCTCCACGTACCCCATCATTTCCTTTACCACGAAATCGTCTTACTGTCATTGTTGTTGTTCCAGGACGTACATCAATAGGAACATGCACTGTCTGAGCAGTCAGAACTCCTGTACCTCTGCATGTACTACACTTTGGTGGTGGGGCGTGGCCATCTCCACTACAGTAGCCACATGGTCGCTCAATGTGATAGGTAGCGCTAGGGAGATGTGTAGAACCGCGACCACGGCATTGTGGACATTTACGTGGATTCTTTAACATTTGTCTACCCTCACCACCACAACGTGAACATGTTACATTCTTTTCATATATAGCAGTTTTAGTACATCCAAGTATACTCTCATCAAAAGAGACACGAAGCATAAAGTTGATGTTTGTACCATTCACTGCAGTATGCTCCTCGCGGGCATTGTACGGCCGTGCATCTGTGGCATTCTCACTTATCCCGGTAGCAGAACGGAAAGGTCCTGAAAAATCTCCAAAAGATCGCTGAGCGTCAGAATAGGAAGAAGAACATGAAGAAGAAGAAGGATCTGAAGATGCTGAAAGGACATGATCTACAAAATGGAATGATTGGTGCTCAGGGTTAAAATTAGCAGATACTTGACCACCATCAATAAGAACATTTAATGAGGCATCGGGAGAGGCATAGTGATGTCCTGCGTACTGTGTACGGAATCTTTCATCAGAAAGAAGTGTGTAAGCCTTTTGCAGTTGTGCAAGTTTTTCCGCATCTTCCTTATTGTGTTGAGGATCTTTCAGTTTCATGGCTTCTTTAAGAAAACCTTGTCGAAGCTCTTCACGTGTGCGGCGAATACGATGTGCCTCACTCTCCTTATCAAAGCCAAGTAGTGCGAAAAGAGATTTCACCTCACGATCGTTACCCCTCTGAATAACATTGAAATGACGTCGCCCTGTAGACAACGTGCAATCATTATGTAGTAACCACAATGAAGATGAAAGTCCACTTATACGTGATGACACAGTCCCAGAAAGAGAAGGTCGCATTCAACTACTCCTCGCCACTTCAACTCAAAGTAGAGAAAGACACACACACACAAAGAGACGAAGAGAGAAAGAGAGAAAAAGAAAGAGAGAACAAAAAAAAGAAAAAAAAAAAAACCAATAAAACATCCATAAAAAAAAAAAATAATAATAAGAATTAAAGAATACAGTAATGATTCCTCACGTGAAATGAAAGTGACAGTTGAAAATATATAATCAGAGTCCAAATCACAATAACTGGAAGTCTGTTAAGCGTAGCCTTCTCTTTTTCTTTTCTTTTTTTCTTCTTCATCGGATTCACCTTACAAATATCCACACGCCACAACACTACACCCCCTATGTCATAAAGGTAGTCCTGCATTCTATTTGTTTTTTTTTTTTTTTCTTTGCCTTTTCCTACCTTTAATTTCTCTCTCTTTCTCTTTCTCTCTTTCTCTCATTCTGGGTGTATACACATTTGTGCATTTGTGACTTCACTACCTCCTTTTGTGCTTGAAGTGAGTTTCTCACTCTTCTTCTTCTTCTAGGTCATACTGCTCTTCCTCATCATCATCTCCAAGTGACAGGGCGTCAAAATCAACATCCTGTTCATTATCATCAAAGCCGTTATCGTCCGCACCACCAAAGAGTTCCCAATCGGCACTCTTAAGTGCACTATCCCACAATTGTCGTCCTGTTAATTTATTAGAAATCTTCTTCTCTACGGATTCCCGTGCCTGTTGTTTTTCAGCATTATGTTTTTTACTCCACTCCTCAAATAACTCGCGGGTGACGGCGGTTCCAACACGTACTGTAGGGTCGGGCATAGAAGATACACCTGAGGCATTTGCAGCAGCATTCGCTAACGCTTCTCCACGTCTGTGTAAATCTGCCTTTTCTTCATTTTCAGCAAACTCGGTAAGGTATTCCTGCGCCTTCTGTAAGACTGAGATAACACTATGTAATCCGATTTGTTCCTCACATAGTTCAGCAATTTCTTTTGAGAGGGTTGCTAACTGCATGCGACGATGTTTAGCGATGTGTTCCAGTCGCACAGTGGGTGCTGCTGTTTCTGGATAATCTTCCGTTTCGTATACAATTGTAACTCGAAGCTCCGGTGGGTCATCTGCAGTAGCGGCGAGAATGACAGAGTACGTTGGTGGATCCATGCTGGTTAACTCATATGTATCATACATTCCCTGCACCATATCCATCTCCATCATCTGCATTTCTGTGGCTGGCATTTTTTTTTTTTTTTATGCTTGTTTGTTTCTGATTGGTCTTCTTAGTCGTATATATATATATATATATATATTTAACCTTTTTTTCTTTCCTTCTTCTTTTATTTTGATCCTGTTTTTTTTTTTTTTTTGTTTTTCACGTTTCTCTTCTTGTGTAGTAGTAGTAATGATGTGAGAAGATTGGGTGTTGATTTCTCTCCGCACTTCCCTGCTGCCTGAACAGAGAGACAGACACACAGACTAGGCACCTTACACAGGGAGGAAAAAGTAATTCCTAGCAAAGTAAAGAGTAACGAAAAAAAAAAAAAAAATTAATGGCAGCACATTAAAAATAACATTAAGAAAACAAAATAAAAAAAATAAAAAAATAAGAATATATATATATATATATAGTGGTACTTTAAAGAACACACAGACTGGTGCAAACAATACACACACACACACACACAAAGAAACAAACACAACTCGCAGCAGTAGAGAGAAACAAAACAAAGAAAAAAAAAAACAAAAGATGTATTTCTCTCACCCAATCAAAATACTTTCCACCTTCTAACTTCAAATGATCACACAGCTGATCTTCATAGTAAGATTCCTTCCAATACCTTCCTTCTTCCTTTTTTTTTTACCCCTTTGTTTACTTCATTCTTGCACGTCCCGTCAACCAGGCCTCATCCCATTTGTCTCGCTCATCCAAGTAATGCTGAAAACTTCCCTTTGTGGATGTAATTTCATACTTCAACTTTGGATTACCTGCTGGAATCCAAAGCATCATGTTGGTTTCCTCATTACGCGCATACACCTTCATACCGCCTTTAATACTCGTTTCCTCCGTGTGTGCATCCATGACTGTTCCAATAAGGCGAACAGGCCGTGGATTGTAATCAAAATTGCAGGTGATGGGAGCTCCCAGTACTTGTTCCTTCGTGTGTTTCCACGGCTTCATGCGGCCTTGCTTGATGGATTCCATCGCCAGTGCACGTTGAATGCGGGAAATGGGCAATCGTGAGAAGAAGGCATTTGCCCGTGAAACGAAAAAGTGGGCATTTGTACGCTCACGTGAGTAACCCATTTATCTTATTTCTTTTATTTGTATTTTTTTTTCTTTTTTTCTTCTTCTTTTCTGCAGCCCACCCACCCCAGACTGTTTTTTTTATTTTTTTTTTTCCTTCTTTCTTCACGCGTGCGTAGCTGCGGTTGAGGGACTGTTCTGTATATTCAAAAGGGCCGTGCGGGGGGAAAGAGAGGTATCAAGACCCACACACTAAATAGAAAGCAAAAAGAAAAAGAAAAAGAAATATTTTAGGAAGAGAATACAGAGTCTTATATATATATATATATATATATATATAAAGCAATAGAGTTCATATTTACTATTATTTTTTATTTTTTCTTAAGGGAATAATAACAAGTTTCTTTGTTCTTGCTATAGACGCTCGTATTATTGTAATATGTAAATAAATATACAGAATGATTATTATTATTTTTTTTTTGAACGACAAAAAAAAAAAAATCATTTCTAATCATCTAACGTAAAAAAAAAAGCAATAAGCAAAAACGCAAAAAAGAAAAAACGCATTACAACTGAAAAAGCTTTGATGCTGTATACCGTCCTGAAAGACGCTTATCATGATCAAACTCTCCTTCCCATACATCACCGTTCGCAAATGTTAACTTCCCCTTTCCATGTGCGGTGCCGTACTCCCATGATCCTTCATATGTATAGGCATCGTGATGTACATACTCTCCCTCACCGTGAAAGAGACCCTTGTAAAGCTGACCAATGTACACATTCCCATTGGCAAACCGATAAGTACCGTGTCCCTGCAGAAAACCATGATAAAAATCCCCAACATACTCATGAGCCGTAGATGCGAAACGGTAGGAACCGGTTCCATGTGGACGATAATTTTCAACGTGTCCAATAAAGACATCACCATTTGAAAATTGAATACGACACCTACCAGTTCCACTACTATGATTATTACTACCATTATTCCCATGTGTATCGTTTTCTTTCTTGTTACGATTGGGGTTCTTATTATTATTGTTATTATTACTATGATTATGATCATTATTATTATGACGTGATATTTGGGGTCTTTTTTCATTTTCTTCATCCACTATCCACTCTACATGATCACCAGAGGAAAGTGTAATGGCACCAGAGTCAATCACTGTACCATTCTTCCTTACTTTTCCCGCAAAAACACTATTACAATCCAACTCTACAATAGCGTTTCCGTCCATCACATCCTCTACAAACTCTGCAGTTCCTTTGAGATGTTGTGATTGAAAGGTGGCATGACCATTAAGTTTATCATCACGCCACTCACCCTCTACCGCCACATGTGGAAGAGAGAGAACACCATGGCCGTTCCTCTTATCATCTTTCCATTCACCTTCAAAGAATGTTTTCTGTGCGGCATCGTAGAAATATTTACCACGTCCATGTCGACGTAAGAGAAACTCAGGCACATCACGTCCCCCACCTGTTACATCTCCAACATACATTAAGGAAGGAGAAAATGCGATACGAGTAGATTGTTTAGATTTCCCTTTTTCTTTCTCATCTTTTTGTTGTTGTGGATGTTTACGTTGTTGGATAGTAGATCTATTCGTTTGGGTTTTCTGCTGATTGACCTGTGGATTATTATTGCCATCATTCTTATTCTCATTCTCATTCTCATCATCTTCAGATTCCTCTATGAGACGAAGATCAATACGTCGTTCTTTCACTGGTTCACTCTTCTCTTTTGAGATGGTAGCTAAAAGGGAATTCGTGATGGCCTTTTCAAATGATACGACACGTTGTTCTTCTTCTTCCATCTTCTCTGTAAGCCGCCGTTGTTTCTCTGTAAAACTATTTAGTTGTGAAATGAGTTCTTGCTGTATTGCCTGTTCTTCTGCTTTAGCGAGAAGTTCATTCTGTCGTTCAATAGATCGTTTTTGCAGTTCCACACGTCTCTCTTCAAGCATCCGTCTCTCTGTTGCTAACCGTGTTCGTTCTTCTTCCTCTTGTTGTTGAACTTCCAGTAATCGACGTGCACGTTGAACGGCAAGACGTTCTTTTTGTAATAAGGCTTCTTTTTCTCGTTGAAGTTCCTCATTTGCTTTGAGGAACAAAAGTTTCTTCTCATCATATTCATCTCGCTCTAGTGGAATGGAGTCTTTTTCTTTTCCTTGTTGATATTGATGTTGTTGTTGTTGTTGCTCCTGAGAGAGACTTGAAAGAGATCTTTCTACAGATACCGCATGTTTTTCCCTCCCATCATATGGAGTACGTGAATCCCCAGCAAGAACAAGAGAAGAAGTTTCTAAATTTTGATGTTTAGTATATAATGGAGGACGTTCGTTATTGTTGTAACTACCTGTTACTCCTGTTACTATAAATGAAGATGAACGTTGTGTATTGGAAGAGGCTGATCGTTGTTGAGATCCACTTTGTCGTCGTTGATCTCGCTTGGCACGCCAGAGAGCGAGTCTATCACGAACATGCATCATATCTCCTATTTCATCACTATTATTGTTATTATTATTATTATTATTATTATTATTATTATTATTATTATTATTATTACTTTCTTTTATATTATCAACAAAAGTTGTTTTCACGATAGTATTTGTATTGGGTTGATTTTTCTCTAATGCCTGTTGAACTGCTTTGGCAATACTTTCTTGCATTATTGTACGACGTCCTCTTCTTTCTGTATCACTCATATTGGTTTCCTCAGCTACAGACATTGATGTACTGCGTCTCTGTTTAGATACCGCAGACTCTACAGAGCCAATGGCCTGCATAGTGGTTTCTTCTTTTCCTTTTTTTCTTCTTTCATCATTATCATTATTATTATTATTATCTTTATTTGTATTTCTTGTGGATTCAATGTCTGGTAGTACCCAAAGAGAAGTGCTACTGCTATCATTGTGGAAATAGACTGTATTGTTGTGTTCTCGAGATACACAATAACACCAGACATGCTGCGGCGGTGGGTCTGGCAGTAAAGTCTCCGGTGCGTACAAATCCTGTGAGCCGCGGGCAAAATGACGATATCGTGTTTGGCCAACAATGATGACTTCAGGCACAGTGACAGTCATTGTTTTTTTTTTTTTTTTTCTTCTTTTTTCTAATTTTGTTTAATTTCTTTATCTAATGTGGGTTGTTTTCTTCTTCTCCTCCTTGTGTAGGGGAAAACGCCACGAGTGCAGATCTCTCTTCTGCCCCCCAAAAAATAAAGGGGGTGATGAGAGAACAGAGAAGACTGTGACCCGCAGGAGTACACAGGCCCCTCACTAATCCAATCTACACTTGATAATATGCAAAAAATACACATGAAAAAGAAGAAAAAAAAAGAAATAATAATAAATAATAAATAAAAAAAAAAGAGTTTGGGTTCACATCCTGTTAAAAAAGACAACCAAAACAAAACAAAAAAAAATAACAACATTTAGAAACAAATAACATCCACACCAACAACAACAATAAACGAGAACAACATGCATGCAAAAATAAAAAAAAAAAGAAGAATGTGTAGGAATTAAAATGTGATAGCGAAAGCTGTTTCATACAAAGAAAAAAAAAACAAAGATATTTTGTTTTCGTTTAATCTACGATGATCAAACCCACACACACCATCGCATTATAATAATAACAACAACATATATATATATATGTTCAGATATCTACGCAGGACCGTGCCGCTTAGAGGACCAGCGCACCACCTTTGTGCCTAACAGTTTACGGTATGTACTTGGGAAGTCCGGTGCCCCAGACTTAATATCCATCTTTGCAAACATGCCTGAAAACTTACGAACAAACCGTTCACGTTCTTGTACTCTCGCTGCTTCTGGTTGTTCCATCTTAAACTTCGCCAATCGTTCATAATAGACCGCCTGCTGTGAGAGTTGTTTCTTTTCATTATCTTGTAGAGGACGTGTGTAGGAAAGACCTAAATCACGAGCCACTTCTGAACGTGAACGTCCAGTCTCCACACATCCATTTAATCCACGTGGGTCCAATACATCGGCGAGATTAGTAGAAATGGCTAATCCGGCATTCCAATCATACTTCCAATAGGCACCTTGTCGATATGTTACCAAATTAGAAGGTTGAAGTATATCTTGAACATCATGATCACGAATAATTTCCCAATATTTTTTAAAATCCACCTTTCGTAGTTTTCGTAATGCATGATTAAGTTTTCTTTCTGTGTTTGCCAAAACAGTTTTAATAATATTATTGTGAGGATTAGTTAATAAATGATTTCGTAATACACGACACTTAAGGGCACGTTTAACAGCTAAAACGGCTGGACTTGTGGTATCAAAATCATGTTCTGCATATCGTTCCATATACATAGATTCCTGTGCAAACTGTTTTTCCTGAATCGTCATCATACTCTTGGAGAGAGCTTTCTTCATATCATCACTATACCCATCCAACATCTCTGCCGGAATACTAAATCGATTCTCATAAGCATGACGTCGTGTTGGATACTTTTTATACCAAAATGGAAATCCCTTCGGTTGTCCATCTAATTGCCGTAGTGCCCCAGCGAGAAGTGGGTGTGCCTCTTCAAACTTCATCTGTCGTGTTTCTGGTATATTCACACCATACAGCATCTGCTCTTGCCGCTTCTTCTGCACAGGTGTGAGATCAGAGTAAACGGCACCGTAGAGATTTTTTAAGGCGCGTCTGCGGGGCATGTGCGGTGTGGGCGGCTCTGGATTCATCCGCCACGGGTACCACAGCCAAATGGCGGGGTGCTCCATCGCGGCAATGGCGTCTTTGAGGGCACTGTGTGTGCGGCGGCGGACTTTACCGCGGCCCCGGACGACATCCCCGTCTGCAGTGGCGAGTGTGAGTTTCTCCGCGCGTTTGAAGTTGCTGGTTTTGGCGAAACTGGTCTTGAGATCGGGGGCCTTGCCGGCGCGGTTGCTGTACCGCCGCAGCAGCAGACCACTGCGTAGGAACATATCAGCGTAAGTATTGGAAAAGAGAGAGAAGGAACGTAAAAGAGAGATATAGAGATATAGATATAGAGAGATATAGATAGAGATAGAGAGTGAGGACTGGGTCCTACAATCTACTACAATCCACTACTATACTACTACTATACTACTACTGCTATTACTACTATTACTATAGTACTACTCATATTTAGAGAAGGAGAAAGAGAAAAGTAAAGAGGAAAAGAAGGGAGTGGGGGGTAGAGATGTGGGGGTATGGCAGACTCTTGAAGTATAGAGGGGGAGGGTAGTAGATATAAATAATAATAATAATAAAAGGAAAGAATATGAACCTCATCTTGGTTTTTTTTTCCTGTAAATACAAAAAAATAGATAAAAACAGAAAATGTACGGATATAAAAAAAAAGCGACCAGAAATGTATATCAAATGTATACACATTTAAATATATAAATAAATAAATAAATATATATATATATATATATATATATTTATACTTATTTAAATCAACTAGGTGTTAACATGGGATTACACCTTTTCTTTTTCTTTATTTTTGCGCAGCTCTGTTGAACTCACATCGACACGGAAATCCTCTTTTGAAATGGGGATAAACATTGACTCCAATTCCTCTGGAACTTTAATAGAATTTAAATCTTCCCATGTATTTTCTTCTCCATTAGTGACTGTACGCCCACCTACCACGAAGAATCCTCCTTTGGATTTAATGAATAGCATAGATTCTATCATGGCCTCACGTGAATTCTCATAATACTTCAAATCAAATATACGTTTCACCGTATCAATACCAACAACAAAGCCATGATTAGGGAATAATGTGGCCTTTTCAGAAAAGAGACGTGCAGAGGTTACAGCCACTCGTTTACCAATTTGTAGAAATTGTTGTATTCGTCTCTCAATTTCTGTTTCTGATTGAATAACTCCTTTATCAGCATTATGAATTGTAATCTCATATGTTAATTGAACTTTATTTTCATCCACTTCATCTAATGTACAACACATTTCTTCCTTCTTCACACTTTGCATATCTTTAGATATCATCTTCACAACGGTTTGTATAGCTGCCCGTGCTAGTTCTGTGTGTCCCCAGTGTAATGGAGAGAATGAACCCGGAAATAAAAGTTGTTTTTGAATTATTATCGTATTTCTCTCTTTCACAGAAGGTGTTTCTAATGTATATGGTTTGAGATCCGCACGCACTTCTCCATGTGTATTGAAAACAATACATGGAATTTCCTTTTTAAATAGACACTGCAATGGAGATTTAGGAATAGGATAACTTTGCCTTGTTGGTTCCACTATTAAAGGTATCGTAAAAGGAATACTCGCAGCCTCTGCTAATACTTTAAGTAGTAAGAAAGTTACTTGTTCTTCCTGTTCTGTGCGGGATAGATGTTGTGGGATCTCCACAGTGTATTCCACCACTTCTTCTTGATTCCATGCAGCCACAAAGGCACAATCTTTTCCATGTCGACTACGGTTTGTTTGCACAGCAGAGGTAGAACCAATACCAATAATAATTTCACTTTCACTAGTATTACTAGTATTAGAATTAGATATATTCATTGTTTGAGCATTCATATAGCGTTTGGCGTTATGATAGGCATGTTGAGCGAATTGTCTTGCCACCGCCGTATTCACCATTTTCGTTGGATGATCCTCTAACATCTCCGCAGCTGCCGTTAAGGAATAGGGCACACGGGCATCAAGAAGAGTACGGGAGCAGCCGGGAACTGCCGTGAGATGAGAAATCGCACAACTTCCAGCACCGGCAATATACAACACACACCGCACTGGTGAGGCATGAATAGCTTCAATTAAACTTTGTAAAGATGAAGGTCCCATAGTATATGTTGAGAAGAAAACAATATATATATATATATGTTCAGTAATCTTTAACTCCTTAGGATGGAAATTAATGAGATCTCTATTTATTTATTTATTTACTGCTGTTAAAACATTGCAAAACGGGAAAACAGTAAGAATGCAACTATTGGTAGAAACAGAACCTCCATTCATACATACATATACACACATATACACTTTCCTTTTCTTTTCTTCTCCTCCCTTTCGCTGCATTATTTTTTTCTTTTTTTATAATAAATATGGACTCCATGTGTTCGAATATTAAAGAAACCAGTTGAAACAGATGAAAACACACACATGCACACAAAAACAACAAAAAAAAGAAAAACTCTCTTCTTTCTCCTCTTTCATTTTGCCTTCTACAAGGAATATATATATATATATATATATATATATATATGTATCCCATCTTAATTCGTACTAAACTCAGAGGGGAAGGCACGCCTTGTGTACATTACTTTCATGTCTACTCCCGCCATTCGACACTGCGGGCATTGAAATGGCGTGCCGGTCGCATCAGGCCGCGGCAACACCACTGGTGAGAAACAATTTGCACAAACACACTGTGGAGATGAGAGGACTTTACCCTTTTCACCCAATGCCTGTTGTTGTTGTGAGGCCGGCGGTCGGCTAATCATCCCTACTAACTAATAGGTATATATATATATATATATGTAGAGAGAGAGAATAAATAGGATGAATGGTGTTAGTGCGAATGAGGAAATAAGAAAAGAACAAGTTGAGGGTGGGGAAAAAGAAAGAGAGACAACATCTTTATTAGAGTCTTCAGTCTCTTTTTCTTTTATCATAATGTTTATACACACAAACAACAACAACAACAAAGGAAAAAAAAAAACACCTATGACACCACGCCTCTTCATATTTTTATTCTTCTTTCCTTTTTCTTCTCTTCTCTTCTTTCGTTAAACGAAACGGCAACAACATCAAAATCAACACGAATATCTCTCTCCCACATTTTCTTTCCTTTTCTCTCTTTCCTTTCATTCTTCTCTCCCTCTAGTAGACTCTTTATTTATTATTTGTCTATATGGTATCATATGTGGTTGGCTGTGTGCGCATCTTGTAGAAAACGGTGGAGGACCCGGTGCGGTGTACACAGTGTGTGCACATCAGTTGAGAAGATGGACCGAGTGCGACCACACGTGTGCAGTTCGCACATGTATATAAAGTCATTGGCTCCTGCAATAGTTTTCCCGCCTCCACACTATCATCCGCAGCGGAGAGTTTAATATCATCCTTCTGTTCCTCTTTCACTGGGTATGAGAACATTCCCGATACTATAGGGAAGAAAGGCAGTGAGGATAGAGAGAAAGAAAGAGAAAAAGAAAAAGAGAAAAAGAGACTGTGGATGTGTTGTGATGAAACCTACAATCCTAAGAATACAGAGAAAGAAAAGAAAGAAAGAAAAAAAAAGATGAATAGATATTGATACAGAGATGTAAAGATATAGGTTTCTAAGGAAAGGAAAAAAAAAAATTACCACGATAAATAATTAAAAGAATAATAATAAGAATAAAAATATTACACCAATGAAAAATGTTTGAAGCTAATGTGTCAAGAGATAATAATATGATGTTAACTTCTCTCTTTCTCTTTCTCTTTCTCTCTGTTGAAGAAGAATATGTTTTTTTCTTTTTTTCTTTTTTTAATTCTCCTGTTGTTTCACCTTCTCTTTCGGTTTATCCATCTTCTTCTGTTTCTTCTTCTTATTGTTGCCTGCATCCATGTGAGATTCCAGTGCTGGCCACACCTCTACATTCTTCATTACCATCGTTTGATATAATTGACGCGCATAACTGTGCAGTCTCTCTGTTAATAAACCTTTTAAGAGTAAATTGAGAGTTTTGGAATCTCCCTTTACACGACGGGTTTGCATATCCGCAAGAATAGCCGTTGTTTGACCCCACAGACCAGACCGTTCACAGGCTAATAACAACAATGTATACGTTTCCGCATTTGGCTTCACCGCACAATATCGAGTAGCATTAAAAGCAGAGAAACACGCCTGTGGTTGTTCAGATAACAATAATACTTCCAATGAGGCATTTAACAATTGAACATCTAATGGTATATGATCTAAACGTGCTAATAGAGATATTGCCTCTTCTATTAATCCATTTTGAGAAAGTCCTTTCAGTAGAGCTGTGGCCATAGAAGCATCTATAGATATATGAAGATTCGTCACCGCATCTTTTAATCGTGCCATTGCAAAAGACATGGCATTATGAAGACTACAAATTGTAAAAAAGGCAGCGTAAGTTGTGCGTGTGGGGAGAATCACATACTTATCTGCATCTAATAATAATCGATTGGCTAAATGAAAAACACTCGCATTTGGGGTTAAGCCAGCACCTAATGTAGTCATCATACATTCCAATACTAATGGTGTGGGAGCCACATGTGTTTGTCGGGTATAAAAATATAATTGTTTCATTGCTGATAGAAAAGGTACTTCATCCATTACAGAAACACGAACATTTTTATCAAGATCTAAAGAAGATGAAGAAGAAGATGATGATGATAAGGATTGTGGTTGAGAGGACTGGGGTGATAATGTATTCCCAACCATACGTTGCTCAAGACTACCATGTGCCCATAATGAAATAATAGCTTCCACATTAGAAGAAGAAATGGTTAATTGTTGTGTATAGAAATCCGGTAATAAACGTTGTAATTCCTCCGCCTTCTCTAAAAATGGCATTGGAGAGGATAGGAACTCCCGTAATTGTCGTTCTTTTCGTATATTTAACTCTGCATGTGCATTTAACATATACTTACGCTCCACCGATCTCTGCATACTTAACTCTCCCACATGTCCACGATGCGCAAATCGTTCCTTGTGTGAAGGCACATATTCCTCTCCAACTGGGGCGGTAATACATTCAATCTTCACACCGTCTGTATCTATATATACTTCCGGTGCGGCCATTCCACCTGCGGGTGTATGTAAATATTGTGAACTCGCACGGTATTGAGATTCGGCCTCCGCAATAGCGAGACGGGCATCTGGTGTGAGACCATGATCGTAGAGACCACGCTCATGGTCCTTTACAGCAAAGCGGTATGATCTCTTAACATTACTGTTATTATTATTATCATTATTACTAATATTATTATTGTTTCTTCCTTGTCTTAAGGTATCAACGGGTTGAATGGATACACGGCGCCTCTGTATTAAGAGGGCATCACTAATAATAATGGTATTCCTCATAGTGGGAGTCAACACACACACACGACTACAGAAACCCGTACGATTCATCTCCGTATCCAAAGTATAATAATAATAATAATAATAATAATAATAATAATAATAAAAGAATAAGAGATGTCTACACAAATAGAGACACAGAGAGAGTACCTGCTAAGAGAATAAATTAGCCTTTCAAATATTATTAGAGGGTACAAGAAAAAAAAAAGTAGAGAAAATATATATATATACTCACAAATCCATTATCATGAAAAGAAGAAAACAAACAAACAATATACAAAACAAAATATGAAAACAAAACTATAGAGAAAACTCATATAATATATATATATATATACTCTATACAATAGAATGAAAAATAAATAAAGCGCAAAACAATAAGAAAAAAACAAAAAACAAAAGAATAAACATACGAACCGCTTTGTTTTTTTTTTTTTTTTCAAACATCCTCAGCATCTGCAAGTCTCTCAGCGACCTCATGAATAGCTGCCTCAATACACTCTGCCGTAAATCCAATATCCAGAAAAGTTGACATAAAAGCTCCTGCCTTCACTTTCAATGCAGCCGATCGTAAAAGAGGAAATAACACTCTCGCATTTAATTCACGTGCCTCATTCATCACCAAAACACCTTCCATGTTTTGAAGTAATAATGCAGATGGACCAACAGCCGTCTTTCGTGAAGTTGTTCTCGTTGTTGATGTTGATGTTGATGATGATGATGTTGAAATAGTTGGAAGTAACATCTTTGGTATCTGCACATCTTCTTCCGAATAAACCAAATCTGGATCTCGTAAGGACTTGGCTGTGTGTATTAACTCCAGAGGTACATTTGGACAGACGCCAGGCATGTGTTGTTTGGATCCCTGAAGACGATAGAAACGTGAGAGTACAACCGATTGTTTATATCGTAAATATTGTCGTTGAGGAATAGGGAGAATGGTTAAGATATTATTCATCTCTCGATGATTGGGTGAACATTTCATCACAAGTTCACCAATGGCATTAGCACTTCTACCATACATAAAAATAGGAAGAAGAAGAGTTACAAATACTTCATTTGCCTCTTTAAACGTCAAACATGGTTTTATAAATAATCCTAATGGAGATACCGCAGAAGAAGAAGATGATAATGATGAGTTTACAGTTCCATTGTGTCGAGATCGCCCTGTAAGTAAAGACTCTTCATATTGATTAAATACATCATCATTACGTAATAGTAATACCGCATCTGCATTCTCTTGCAATGCATGAAGTGTGAGAGCGGCATTTAAACCTTGTGTAGAGAGTTCCCCAACACTCTGCGGCGTTACTGTTATTGTGATAAGATAAGATGCCCGTCTCTTTTCCATTAACATTCCATCTAATCCATCACGTCGCATCATTTCTACTTCTTCCATCTCATCAATTACTCCTCCTCCTCCCCCTCCTCCTCTTCTTCCTGAGTTGTTGTTGTTTTCTTCTTCTAACGGTTCAATAAAATAATATCGAATCTTTTCTAATAATCTTGTTGTCATTCCACTTCCAGTTCCGCCTGCAAGACTGTGTAAAACAACAATGGCCTCAAACTCCAACGCATCACTTGTACGGCGGGTTTCTGCGTAAATCGCACGAAGCGCATTCCGCAAAACACAATTATCACTTCGTCGTTGATCCTTTACAACTTGAAAGGGTTGAGAGACCACGGCATTCTCTGCAGAGCGTCGACTCATAGGATCATCTACGCCATAATAACCAAGAGCCCAGTGATTCCCACGGCCAGACTGACCAGAGATCACATTCTCACTTCGCATAATCTCACTATGATGGGCGTAAACATCACGCACAACTTTGGGTTCAGAGTCTATTAACACACAACGTGCCTTTCGTGGATGTTGCGTGAAAAATGGAGAGGGAACGGCACCGTTATTAGTGGCTAGTGATAATTGTCTCCATAGCTCATCACCCAGTTGATTTCCACACTGTCCAACTTGTACTACCACTATCGCCATTTGATATCTCTGTTTTTTTTTTGTTTTTGTTTTTCTCTTTCTTAACTCTCTCTCTCTCTCTCTCTCTCTCTCTCTCTATCTATCTATCTAAATCTCTAAATTTCTTTTCAAGCTTTCTTTTCTTTTCTTTTCTTCTTTTTTTTCTTTTTTTACTCTTCTCGAATTTTCTCTTTTTTTAATCTCTGTGCGTATATGTGTACTTCTTCTGTTTCTGATGTGCCCCACTACCCCTCTCTGCACTATCAATCCGTCAATTTGGTTATATATATATATATAAAGAAGAAGAAAGAATAATCAAAAACAGTACAGATAAGAGGAAAGGTAACAAGAAATAAAACGAAAGGTTGGAATACATTTCACAATAATTATATATATATATATATATGGTGTGTATTCCATACACACAAACAAACTAAAAAAAAGAGAAAAATAAAGAGATAATTCTTCTTTATAAACACTATCTGTAAAAAGCAAAAAAGAAAACAGTATCAATCATTCCCTTTTCCCTCTCTCTCTTTCTAATGTACTTTTCTCTCCTCTTTTCTTGCCTGAACAGAAGAAAAAAACAAAATTATATATATATATATATACACAGCTCTATGGAATTTGACATGACCACTCTCTATACCCCTTTGATTTAGCTCAACCACAACCACGTAGAGTGAGAGAGAGAGAGAGAGAGAGAGATCATGAGAAAACAAAACAAAAAAAATAAAATAAATAAAAGAATCCCCTACACAAAGGAAACAAGCAAAAAAGATGATCAATTACCCTTAGTGGACATCCAACCACGATGAAAGATAGCTACAGAACCCAACAATCCAGCCTTTACAAGAATACCACGTAGCCACCATAAGAGAAATTGTAAAATAACAGCTATACAATAATATTGTACCCATGCCCACTTGAGTGCCTCTTGAATAGATGGTGTATATAATATCTCTGCACGTTGAATACGCATAGTAATACGCCAAGTGAAATCCCCAAGTGCGCCTAGATCTTCACCAAGTACACGGTTATAATTAACATCTTGTAGAATAGAAAGTCCTCCAGTAGCTACAGAGTAGGGTTTAAATAAAACGGTTTGATTTCGTGAAGTGTATTGACTAGCAAAATAGGGTACATTTTGTAATTCCTCCACATCACTCACATTCTCAAGAGGACTATTCATATATGTATTTGTGTAGTGTACATTTGGTAACCTACTGAGAGGCTCTGTACTGTGGAATAATAAATCACCCTCTGTACGAGCACAGAGAGGTCCTTCAACTGTACTTTTTGTTGTTGTTGAAGAAGAAGAAGAACAACAGTCTTCTGCAGCCTCAAAGATAAGAAGAGGAGCAGCTGTCATTCGTACTTTTAAAATATAATTTTTAATTTCATATGTGAATTCTGGAAGAAACTCTACACGTTTAATCGCGTCCTTCTCTGTAGGTACTGGCATTCCTTCCTGTAGACTTCCATTAAAATCATTTAATGGTAATTGTAATACAAAGGTTACTCTATCCACATGACCATTATCATCACGATCATCTTCATAAATAGAGAAAAACGGTTCTACTGCCATTTCACTTTGTGTGTAAATATATTCTTCATTAAATAAATGAGAACAGGTCCACAATTTATCCTGTCCTCGCACAGTGGTGTAATGAACTACACATCTATCGGTAAAGTGTATATCTGGAGTGGCTACCAGTGTATTGGTTTGAAGCCAAAAGTTTCCCATCGCGAGACCAATCAGAACAGGGCCCGCCAGTACTAAAAGAAGAGAAAAAATGTAGAAAATCCAAGAGGCCAAACCGCGAGGAGCATAACGCACTTTATAATGTTCATGAAATAAAGCAATCATTTGTTTTTCTTTTTGTGTGTTAAATGCGATATACGATATATTATTACTATTATTATTTTTATTATTTTCTTCTTCTTCTTAAACTACTCTGATAAGAAAAAGAAAGAAAGAAAGAAAGAAAGAAACCCTGCAAAAAATAAAAAAAGCACAACTAACCATAGCAACAGTAAATAAATAATTATAATATGGATCATAATTAATAATAATAATAATAATAATAATAATAATAATAATAATAAAGCGATATAATAAGCGAAAGGGAAAAAAAGTCTCCAAAAGAAGTAATAAATAAATAAGAAATAAGAAAAAAAAATAATAAAAAAAATAATAATAAAACTCTCCTCCTCTGCATACCAACAAATAACAACACCTAGACTAGACTAGACCCCAGTATATATATATATATATATATATATATATCCCTATATCCAATCAGGACACGGCCACACTGTGAATAAACGCCAGTGCGAGGTCTATCTCTGCCTGTCTGCGGGCCTTATCCCATTTGAGTTCGCCGCTCATCACATCTGCAATCGCCGTCACTGCCGCTGCGGCCTCCGCCGGGCTGCTGAACGACACGTGAGTGCGGCGGGCGACAACATCCACCACCCGCACCGCATACATCTCCCGCACCAGTCGCCGCACACGATCCATCGGGGACAATATATCCTTGTTAGCATCACTGTTATTATTGGGGTCGTGAGAATTAGTTGTGGTTGTAAGATCAGGAAGGAGTAGTTGAAGACGTTTCGTTCTACATGGTTGGAATGTGTTTACCTCTTCTTCAGTGAAGGTCGCACTATCATGTAAGAGATGATTAACTGCATCTTCTGCAATATCTCTAGCAAAACATAAAGTACCACCATAGATATGAACAACATGCGGTTGCGGTGTTCCGGCTGTGATATGATATCCCTTTCTCAATATATCTTCTGCCCATGGAACTATTGATGGTTCACGAAGAATAGGTACAATAGAAGAGATTATAGATAAAATACGTTCTTTTTCCACTGTAAGACCAGAAGCCTGTAGAGCTTTAGAAATACGATCCTGTTGAATTCCGTAAACATCACATTTCACCTTATTTCTACTCTTGTTACTATCACTATCACCTGTCCATGTCATTATCATTGTTGGTGTTGTGCCTATTGTTTTTCTCGGAAGCTGCGATAATGGTGTGACACTTGGACCAATCAGTACACAATCATCAAACCATGGTAACACCATAACGGATGAAAAACTATACAATGTAGATGATGACAACATGGCTTTTACACCCAAAGCAGAAAAACTATTATTATTATTATTATTATTATTATTATTATTATTATTATTATTATTATTATTAGGATGAATCCCACCTTTTGTATGAACTGCACTTTGAGGTACTACAATGTAAGAACTCACTTGATGTCGCTCCACTGCGGTCGGTACGGCGTCTGAGGCGTTATCGGGTAATAATTGTTTAACTTCATCCACCCAAGATCCAGCACAATTAACAATACTACGTGTATACACCGTGTACTCTTTCGAAGGTAATCTACCATTACCAGCAGCAGTTCCACTAGTAGTATTAGTAGTAGTAGTAATAGGTGCACTTACTTCATTTAAAGAAACCGCAAAATTAGCTTCCGTATTTGTAGTAGAATGAGTTGACTTTACACGTTTCACTTGAGTTACTGTAGTGTAATTTAATACAAATGCTCCCAAGGCTTCTGCTGTACGTGCGAGGGCTATAGATGCAGCGGCACCATCTAACTGTGCATCTTGAATGATAATACCTCCTTTCACTTCATCTTCCATCTTTCCAAGTTGCTGCTGTAGTAGAGATCCTCGTATAAATCTAAAAGATCTCCATACACCACAAAAAGGACTTAATACAGTTGCTATAGTAGCCGCTATTGTAAATTCTACTAATTCTAACATATGTGAAGAACAAATTAACGTAGGAACACGACTTTCCATTATACCCGAAGCCACATTAGACCATACGGTTAAAGCCTCCCATGCCTCTACAGCTCGATAAAGCCAATGTATATCTCGTTGTCGTAATGCCCGTTGTACATATGGAAATGCCCCTGGCAGAAGTGGAGGAGATGTACTGGTGTAACCCGAACCAAAATCATCCGCATCCACAAGCGCAACTCGTAATCCACGTTGGGCGGCATCTACAGCCGTATACAGACCAGTCGCCCCACCACCAACAATAAGTACATCAAAAGGATGTTCAATACTACTACTACTATTATTATTATTATTATTATTATTATTATTATTATTACCATTCTCAAGTTGTTGTAGTTTGGCAAATCGTGTTTGTGGTGATATTATTGTCTTTTCTAGAGATGTTAATGGAACTACAGCAGAACGTCTTAACTGCCATCTGTGATAAGATGCCCAACCACCGGCAAGAGTAAAGAGTGCAAGAGTTCCTCGAACAGCAAAACGTCGTGAGCGACGTCCCATGTATATAGAGATTGTATCTTCCTAATTTACTTTCTTTTTTGTTTGTATTTATTGCCCAAGAAAATAAATAAATAGAAGAAAAAAAAAAAAGAAAAGAAAAAAAAAAGAAATATATATATATATATATATATATATATATATATATATACCACTACATTTCTTTATAGAGATAGAATGTCAAAATGGAGTCTGATATCAGCCACATTTTTTTTTTCCTTCTTTACTTTGTGTACCTGGTTTTTGTTCTTCATCAGTATCCTTCCATTAACTGGTTTATGCGTTTTTTCCCCCTTTCATAAGGAGATTACTCTCTGTTCCTTCTTTTTTTTCTTAGAGTATTTTAACCGGCATTGTTAGAAGAGGGGAAGAGAAACGTGTTGAGGTCCAACACATGAAAATAATAACAAGAATACTCATCAGCAACTGAATCTAGGGGTCCATATACAGACACACATACAGACATAAACATATAAATATAGATGTATGAACCCTATCATTAGGTATCAAAGTAGCAAATGAAAACACATCATTCATATATGTATATGTGTATATATGTATATGTATACATAATCAAAGACTCCCCCTTTCTCTCTTTTTTTTCTTTTATTTTTTTTTTATTTTTTCCCCTTCCTTCCAGTGTTTAATAATACTTCTTCCGTTGATCATCGCTTCTTGTACAGTGAGGCGACGAGTACTTCCTGTGGGTCATAACGAAATTCTTTATTTGCTTCTGTCTGTCCTGTACGTTTGAGAAAATCATAGGCGACGAAGTAATCCCCAACAGCATCATGATAGTCCAATGTAAATCCAATTTCTTCTACGAGTTCTGCAAAACGTCGTGGGTGTGGAATGCGAGATCGTACTTCCACAATCTTCAGTAATCGTCCTGGCTTAAGAACACGAAAAGCCTCCAGTAAACATTTTTCATAATCTGTAGACATAAGACTTAATGAAAAGATACAAATATCCACAGAGTCATTCTCTAATGGGACTTTAGCGGCGTTTGCCACCGTAACGTGTGGGTTCACAGCACAGAAATCAAAGGAATGTACCGTGTAACCTTTTGGTTTTAATGCTTGGGCAATTTGTGCATCTCCACATCCCATATCTGCAATAACCCAACTTGTTGGAATATATCCAGGCATACTTTTAGCTTTATTTGCGAGGAAACGTCCACGTCTATCCCCCAATAATGCTTCTATAATAACCTGACTTGGTTTCATTGGCCATTGTTGTAATTGTTGTTGATATCCATTATGGTAATCTGCATAGGTAGAGGGATCCTTTAACAACTGATTGGCAAAGGCAACATTAGAACTGTATATTTGTTCATTTAATAAACGAAATGTACTGGATGATAATTTTGTTCGAAAATGTTCCAATAAATCATCATCATTTTTCATTTTTAATATCGCCCGACGTTGGGCGGCGCTGCTGGCCCCACAGGCTTTTTGCATTGGAGCCGCATTTGATTTTCCATCTCCTGGACTAGGTGCATATCGTGGAATTCGGTTGGCTTTCTTATACGCCCGCTCTTCATATGAGTTCTTAAAGGGAATTTGTCGACGATCATTTGCGGAATCACGACTTGCCCCTCCACTGGCGTGAGAAACAACAGGGCCTTTCAAAACACTAGCATTTCGATTTTTCTTTTTATTGTTTATATTATTACTAGCAGAGGCGGCTCCTTCTGCTTTACTTGTGGGTTTGGATTCTTTCTTTGCCGACTTCTTGAACTTTTCCGTATTTCGCTTCTTTGCGTTGCCTAACATTCTTTTCTCTTCTCTTCTCTCCACGATTGTTTCTACCTGCTTGAGTGGATAATAATAATAATAATAATAATAATAATAATAATAAAAGGAACGAAAAACGAAAAACAAAAATAAACAAAAACACTTGTAGAAGAAAACAAGAAAACAAAACAAAAGATGTTTCTTACCGCTCCTGTCCAATCACCTATTGATGGAAAAGATCTAAGAGGAAAAAAAGAACAAGAAACAGAAACAACAACAACAA